TGACCCGACAAACCCATCACGGATGCCAATTGATGTAGACACGCTCCGGCGCAGACACACGGCAACATCCATAGTGGGACCGCCTTAAGTCATCTCCGGACATCTGCCAAGTTGCTGTCTGCACGGTGTTACACTAGCGAACCAGTGGATTAAATACGCGGTCTGACAGATTAAGAGGCAGTTTATTGGGTAGATTCCATTACAATAAAACTCGAATTATCTGCGTAGAGGGCATCGGGGAGCAGGTTAACAATGCACTCGGCCTGCAATCGATTCCGGCATTAAGACGTTGCATCAGTGGGATAATAATCGATATTTTCTGAGTCTTGGCTACATAAACCCTGGTAAAAAAGGTAGGGTACATTAAGAAGTTAACAAAAGTGGGTATTTAACTAACCACCCGTGTCCTTGAAGTTGTTTGACTCTTAAAGAATAGAAAGAAAAAGCTTTAAATGTACCATGACAATACTATGTAGGGCTAGTCATTTTCACATGTTTTTTTCACATATAATCTGGAGGAACTACTACAAAATTATTCTTAGCCATCACAACTGTCGAACATAGGCATTTTTCTAGTGTTTATAACCTGACCATCGTTTATTTTGTTTATTCTGTCTGCTTAAACTACCGTTTAATTTTTCATATTCGCCTTGTTCTAACCTACCAGTTGATGATTGTGTTGGAAGCAGAACAGGACAACAAACTACCATTGCAACGGACGCATTTTTAATGTTTGTAAAACATGTGCCGGACAAGCGTATTTGCCGTTTTTCGTCAATGGGATCGTAACATTCTCCTTTCATTGCTTCAAAGATGTCAATTAGTGTTTAAATTCAGAATCATGGAAAAATCGCGAATTTGATGAAGAACAGCCACAGCATAGGTAACTCAGTATAACAGTTTAGTTCTGGCGAACGATGGTGTCTACCTCGTGCACTATGCTGCGGTCGCAGCAGTGGCAACTTGCTTCTGAATTGGTATACATCGGGCAGAATTAAACAGTATCTTCTAGACTCATACCAATTTCACCCAGTAGGCTCCACTGGCAAGATATCAGCAGGGAGACAGGACACTAGTTAGGGCTTAGCGACTGAGAATGACAGACAACCCCTCTTCGTGTACCACACATGGGTTTTTTCCCACCAAATATGCCAGACTTTGAAGATGGCGACTGGAAACGACGATATTAAGATACTGAACTCGGCTACACATTCCTATATTTTAGACACCTGTCCTCCGCACACTTTTTTCTTACGAGACAGGCAGAACATGGGCTTAGTCAAGCCTGACGCACACGTCCGGAGGCCAATTGATGATGACCTGTTGAAGCATCTGCGGCGCCATCCGTTGCGGAGACATCTAGGCAAAGCGGGACCGATGAGTTCCGTTAGCGGTTGAAAGCACATTAATGAAACCCCAATAGGACGACTGAACGATCGGTAAGCTGACAGTCGGACCACTTTGATTTGCCCTGTCTTCAAAGCTGATCCCCACATCTATAGAATAACGAAAGAATCATGGAGTACCTCCATTTCACAGAAGAAGATGTGAGGAAGGAACAGACTGCGCTTAATGGGGCTAAATCTCCGGGTCCAGACAAAATACCAGCGAAAGTACTGCAAGAGCTGGCTTCAGAACGTTTCAGACCGCTTACGCACATTTTTCAGTTGTCTTTCGATCGGAACCTCCTCCCATCCGATAAGAAATTTGCGAAAATATACCCTATTCACAAGGGTGGATCCAGACCAGCGCGAACAACTATCGACCAGTGAGCCTAACTTGCATCTGTTGCAAAGCAATGAAAAGGATTATTAAAAAGGCCACCATGAAGGTTCTCGAAGGAAAATATTTCTTTGACGGTGCCCAACATGGATTTCGAGGGAACCATTCCTGCCTGACCAATATGCTTTATTCAATGGAGCAGTGGTCCGAGTCACTAGACGAGAATACCACTGTCGATGTTGTTTATGTAGACTTCAAAAAAAGCCTTCGATAGTGTCCGACACCAACGGCTACTCTACAAGGTTGACGAATGCGGGAAAAAGGGCAATTTACTACATTGGGTAGGTGGTTTCCTCATAGGCCGATCGCAGTCCGTGTGCGTTGAAAACGCGAAATCCTCTTCCGTGCCAGTTGTTAGTGCTGTGCCTCAGGGCTCCTTTCTTGGGCCATTATTGTTCTTAATCTGCGTCAGCGACTGTAGGCATGGACTCGTCCGCAATGGAGTCCTGTTCGCAGCTGATATGAAGATATGGCGACCCATCAGAAACACTTATGCTGAACAAACTCTGCAAGAAGGACTTGACCGCGTAGGTGAATGGTTCAACAAATTGTTAATGTGGTTTCACTTTGAAAAGTGTGTCACATTGCGGCTCAAAACGAAGAAGGCGAGCGTGACGGGCGACTCT